TAGAAAATTCTGAAAAACCTTATAAGTGTGATTTTGACTCTATATCCTGTAGTTTTCTTTCCTCCATTTCTGTCATTTGTGACCTGTTTCTTTGTCTCCACATTTTGGCTGCTTCCGTGTGTTGGTAGAGTGGCTTTGTGTGCTAGGGGGCCTATAGGGCCCAGTGGCTCAGCCTCCGCAATTACATGAGGTGGACACTCTTGGTGCACCCCTTCGTGGGCTTTGTGCACAATTTCCTTGAGTCTGCCCCCTGATTGTGTCCCCAATGGATCTGAAGAGTTGTAATCTGGATGGTCCCAACCTTCCCACTGGGTATACTGGCACTTGGATCTCTAAGGAGGTTCTAGTTTAGCCTCTGCCAGAGGCTACCTAGCAGGGGGTATGGAGAGATCTGCAAATTCCTCTTCTTTGTTTGGGGTTTGGAGGTGCCCAGATGAGGTCCAGCTGTGAAGCAATGCAAGCTGCTATGGGGCCTTGGGCCTTCTTTTGGAAGTTCTGGGTCTCTTTGACCCAGCTGCAGTTTATTAGGTAATTTTCAGATTGCAAAGGCCAGGCCTTTCATATGCAAAAGCCTCTGTGCACAGGTGGGCTGGGGTCTCAGGGGATTAATAGGGCGGAGCAAGCAACAATGACTGATCCTCAGCCCTGCCCTAAGAGTCTCCAGGTCTCAATGTTCCTCGGTAATTGCTGCAAGCACCTCTGAGAGAAAGCCCCCCTCGAGTTCCGATTGATGCCAGACAGTCCAGTTTCTCCCTGTATGAGTCTGGTTCCCCAGAGACTCACCTGGAACTGGAGTTCAGAGTAGTTGGGAGCTTGAGACTCCCTCCTGTTCCACATGCGTGCACCTCCGTACCTCTGCACTTTACTTCCGCAGCTCCTCTGAGTCTCGGTGTGCTTTTCTCTTTCCTTCTAGTTGTAGAATTTCCACTCAGCCAGCCTTCCTGTGCTTCTGGATGATGTCCGTTTTGTCTTTTAGTTGTATTTTTGAAATAGTTGTGCTAGGCAGCAATTCCCGGTGTTTACCTATACCGCCATCTTGGTCTTTTGGATATCGATAGTATGATTCTTTAGTGGTTAGACATCTGAACATAAACATTCAGTTTTCCAAGGTGATTGCCCCAAGAGAGTGCCTTTTAAATATTTGGCACTCCGCAAATATGTTAGAAGAACAGTTTAGCATAGAGGAACAGCACCACATTTGAAATCAGACATGAGTTGGGGTCTGTCTTATTATCTTAGATCATTTAAACCAGAGGTGGGGAACCTTTTTTCTGCCATGGGCCATTTGGATATTTATAATATTATTTGCAGGCCATACAAAATTATCAGCTTAAAAATTAGCCTGCTGTATTTGGTCAAACATTTAATTAACTCTCCCCTAATGCCTTGGCAGGGCCAGACCAAGTGATTTCTCCGGCCTTATACAGCCCACGGGCCAGACGTTTCCCAACCTGAAACTCTTCAGTTTTATTTTGTTGCTGGTGAGAAAGTGTTAGAAAAGATGGATAATATTGCTGTTCTCAAAGAGCTTGACATCTTGAGAAAGACTGTACCAGAAAGTATTAAACATGTACAAAGAAGTGCAACATTTATGGGAGCAGATAGCATTTTAACATAGTAAATTCTGAAGCTCCTTGAGATATTGATTACTAATTACTTTGTTCAATTTACTTTAATAAGTAGTAAGTTAGTGTTCAACCACATCTATCTTAAATTAGTGTATTTGATACGTGGTCTTCAAATCTCTTGCAGTACCAAGTACTCTACTGTAAACAAATCTTATTTACATGCATTTCACAAATGTAAGAAAAATGTATGACTTTTATAGTCTTATATTTCAACCTGTTACTTTCTATGCTACTGTCTGAAGTTTGGGGGCAACCTATACTTTCTGGGTTATATTACCCTTTGATTACTTTCATAAAATAAAATCATATTTTCATAAAAATGCAACAAATTTTATGACACTGAGACAGATCAGTAAAAGCATTCTATGTATTCTTTGTATCCCAGTAAATGCAATGTACAAACCATATTTAGGTATTACCTGTAATCTTTACATTCACTGGCTGAAGATGGACAGTTTCAGTAGTTTTAATTGTCCTGAATTTTGAAATTCTATTTGTTTTAAGATTGGGAACAATTAACAGTGTGTACACATCCTACAGGTGAAGCTCTATGTAGATTTTCTGTGCAAAAGGAGAATTTTTAGGCCCACAGAAGGACTATTTATGACTTCTGCTTACTCTAAAATTCACTTACCTCTTTTTTTATCTTTACTGAGCTATAAAGAGATAGGTTTCTTCTTAAGTGAAGGCTAGACAAAGGGCTTAAAGGTTATGACTATTTTATTTTGTCTCCTAATAGATAAAGACACACTAAATTTTATCTTCCTCATATGGGATGTAATTCTTTGTAATTTCTTACAAAGAAAAAAAAATATGTCATTGGTGCCAGGAAGTTTAGGTTTTTTTCCTAAGGATCTTCTATAACTAGTTTTTAAGTTCCTGTGCCAGAAGGACTAAATTGGTCATTTGGTGCTAGCTAACATTTAAAACAGGATGCCGGTTGTTTTTGCTTTCAGATTACTTTTCCAGGAAAAGCAAGCTTATGTGGTGTTTTTTTTTTTAATCTGATTTTTTTTGGTTATTGTTAGTTTGCATCATATCCTGCAATCACAAAATAGACTTGTTTTAAAAAGTGGTTCATTGCAGTCTGTATATATAAAAGCCTAAGAGACTGTTACAGCGGAATCAAACCTGAGACTGCGGTTCACAGGCCAACATTCTATACACTGAGTCAAACTGGCCAGGGCTGATAATACCTTTTTCATGGTCTGCTATGTGGAAGATGTTTGTGAAAGACTTAGAATAGTAGGGGTACATAAAATACATGAAGTATGTCTCTGCCTTTGTTGTACCTCCTTTACCCTCTTGTTAATAGTTTTACTTATAAATTATTAATTTAAAAACTTTCTTGACATTGTAGGTCTGAAAAGCTATGTGGAAATTACTTGTGATAAGAAAATACTCATTACTACTTTCGGATAATATTATGCAATGTAAAATAAGCCAGTTGAAGAAAGAAAAGTATCATATGATTTCACTTATATGTAGAATCTAATGAACAAAATTAACCAAGAAAGTGGAGACAGACTCATGTATACAAAGAACAGACTGGCAGCTCTCAGAGGGGAGTTGTTGGGCTGGGTGAGAAGGACAAAGGGATTAAGCAAAACAAATAAAAAGAAAGACTCATGGACACAGACAACAGTAGGGAGATTGCCAGAGGGAAGTTGAGGAGAAGGGAGGCAAGAAAGGGTAAAGGGGGAATAAATGACGATGAAAGGAAACTTGACTTGACTTGGCATGGTAAATACACACAACGGTATACCAATTAATGTATTGTAGAATTGTATACCTGAAACCTATCTAATTTCACTAACCAATGTCACCCCAATAAATTCAATTTAAAAAAGAGAGCCCTGGCTGGTTAGCTCAGTTGCTTATAGTGTCGTCCCAATATGCCAAGATTGCTGGTTTGATCCCTGGTCATGGTACATACAAGAATCTGCCAGTGGGAATTCCAAGATGGCAGCAGATTAAGTGGAAGCTACAATGACATCCCCCCCATCCCCCAGGACCAAACTGGAATTACAACTAAAATATAGAAAAACCATCCTGAATTACCAGTTGAAGCCTAGCTGGGAAGAACCCTTATAACCAAAGATGGAAAGTGGAGACTGCATAAAGACTG